ATCAGCAATCGTGTTTCTTGTCTCTTCCGGAGTTCATCAACTCTTACCTCGGGTGACAGAAGATAAAGAAATAGAATTAAGGCTTGGTTCCGTTCCATGTAAGATTAACTGTAATCTCGGTTCAATTTATTTTTCATCTTCTTCTAACTGATAGAATTTTATTATTTTTCAAGAATTAGAGAAAAAGATAAGCAGTAAAATCGAGATTATAATCTTATTGGTGAAACTGGACTTATGCTTGTTTCTACCAGCATAAATTAATATTAATCTCGATTTAATTTATTCTTCTTTATTTTCTATTTCTTAGAACTTAGAAAGAGGCAAAAAAACAAGAGATAAAAAAATGATAAAAAGCAAAAAACAGGAAGCAAAGATTAGGTTTAGAACGCTCGATAGTTAATTTGCGGTGCAGTCACCTCTCTCTTTCTTTTCATTATTTGTAGATCTATCAGCATCTGAGGTGGTACACGAATCCTACGGAGCAGAGATGGATAGTGCGAATTTTGTTTATCGTACCCATTTACGCCATCTACTCCTGGATCTCACTGTTGTTTTTCAACAGCGAGAGCTACTACGTTTATTTCTTCACGGTGCGGGACTGTTACGAGGCATTTGTTATATATAACTTTTTGTCACTATGCTACGAGTACCTAGGCGGTGAGGGCAACATCATGTCCGAAATCAGGGGCAAGCCGATACGGTCCAGTTGCCTGTATGGCACCTGTTGCCTGGTTGGGAAAACTTATACCATTGGATTTCTAAGATTCTGCAAGCAAGCTACTTTACAGTTCTGCTTGGTTAAACCAGTGATGGCATTTGTCATCATATTCCTGCAAGCCTTTGGCCATTACAGAGACGGAGATTGGTCACCCGACGGTGGTTACATTTACATCACGATAATTTACAACATCAGTGTATCGCTTGCACTTTATGGGCTGTTTTTGTTCTACTTCGCTACGAGAGACCTGCTGACGCCATTTGAGCCTGTGCTCAAATTTTGTACAGTCAAGAGCGTCATCTTTTTGTCATTCTGGCAAGGTAATATCTAAAATTAAGCATCTGTAAGTGCGCGCGTTAAGTAACAGATAATAATTGCATAAATACTTTTTTTTTTATGCAGGTGTACTGTTGGCCATCTTGGAGAAAGCAAATATCATTTCACCCGTTATAAACAGTTTGGGTCAATCAACGAGTGCTGGCACAGTCTCCGCTGGTTACCAAAATTTTCTCATTTGTATCGAGATGTTATTCGCTGCTATAGCTTTACGTTATGCGTTCCCGTATCAAGTATACGCAGCTGGATGTGTCACTGACTCCAGAGGTAGAAGCGTGACGATGCAAAGTATTAGTAGCAGTTTGAAAGTACGTACAAAATATTCCTGAACTTTCTACAGAGCTATATTCTATTTGTTCTTCGTTCATTTAATCCTCTATTCGACAATAATATTTTATAGGAAACGATGAATCCAAAAGACATAATGACCGATGCCATCCATAATTTCCATCCACAATATCAGCAGTATACTCAATATAGCGCAGGTATGTATTATTTTTTGTGTGCTATAATTTTTTTTAGTTTCTTTTAAGCATTGCTATATAATTATTCACTACTACATGTACATTTTTATTTATTTTTATTAATATCGATACGTTTATGTGAACTTTTATACAGCATGATAGTGTGCGATATAAAATTCATGTCGTTTATTTAAGTTTTTGTATGTATTGTTTCATATACAGTTATTATTTTTTCTCACGCATTCATAAGAAAATGTCATGTTAAAATAAGGCGGTGATACTGAATGTTCTAATTATAGAGCAAGATTATCTGACATGTAATGCCAATAATGCCAATAATAGTTACACAAGATACACGTTTTATTCGAGATTGCAAACGCTTCAGTTACAGGCTTTGGCGCTTTTGTATATAATTTACTTCACTTGTACTCTTTCTGACACTTCACTGCTGATCAATGCAGGCACCGATATTTATTACATTAATATTTCGTCCACTTGTATATGTATGTATAGCAAATCTCACGCAAGTTTCAAGCAAATACGAAATTCACGGAATAGTATAGAATCTGCTTTCAAAGATAGTCCTCTAATATTTCATTTTACTTGTATAAAAGATTTATATATAAAATTTCCTTAATGTGTGCCGGTTTATTAGATTCAGGCAATTACTTTGAAGGCACTTTTGTTTACTGTTTTTCAGACGTTAATACCAACTTGCCGTACGAAAAGATATGACACAGTGAGGCGTCACTTTTTTAATTTCAAGAAATTGGACATCGAGCTTTATGCGCGACTTTAAATGAAGATCGAAAAGAAAGATACTTCATACAGCACTATACTTTGCTTACGGAATTATACAATGCCTTAGAAATCGGTATCTGTCCACAAAGGGTCGATATAAATGAATTCTCCGCTGAAATTACAGAATAAGGGTTGTACTTAGTATACCATCGATATATACGTATTATATGCATATAAGATCATCTATTTTGCGATTAACAAACTCTGCTGTAAAATAGAAGTTAAGCACTTAACATAAGAGGAGTAATTAGGAAAGAGAAAAAGAAAGAAAAACGGGAAGATGGAGAGAATAGCGTACTTCTATAGTGTTGCTCTATAATGAATGTGAAAGATGATTAGGGGTGCAGTTCACTTAATGCTACAAATGCTTTGACGCATTTAATTGATCAATCACAAAAAAGAATTTTACTGATTGACCAATCAGGAAAAATTTTCAAAGCTTTTATAGCACCCAAGTGGATTGGATACTAAACATTAGTATGTTATTGTTTTTTTTCCATAACATTATAACTCAACTTAATTTTATTGCTTTTATTTTGTATTCCTATCACATGGTACCTTGTAGCATGCGAATATACGGTACGAAACGGCCGAGCATGTAAAGCACATCATTATGTCCTTTTTCCCCAAAGGTACAGCATACATTGACAATGGTAAAATTATCACAATCCTAGTTGCTTGCGATTATTTTTTTATATTAATAATAATTTGCATGAATCGTTTATGTATCGCGATTATCGCATTAATATATTTATTCTCTTGCACTCTTTGTATCATGTGTATACGTAAGAATTCGAACTTTGTTGCTCTGAACAAGTCTCTTGAGCAGTTCAATATGCTTTATCGACGGTTTTTGTGCAGAGTTCGGAATTGTTAAATCAAAATTACAGTGTGAGTTTAGAGTTCGATTACGGAGGGAGACGTACTTCGATAGGAATGTTATTTAATAGTCTTTTTTAAATGAAGAATTCTTTCTGCATATATAGTAAGGAAATTGAGTTTGCCAGAATATTATACCAGTTTCGAGCCTCGATTTTGTGAACGCAATTGCAGAGCAAAAACGTTCGAAATGTAAATGTGAACGTTTCGGAGAAGATTGGTCCAACGCTGGTGTATTCGGTCACATAATTTCACGATTACGAAATTAATATAAAGGTTTTATTAATTAATATTAAAAAAAAAAAATAATATAATGGGACCGATTGGCCAATTTTGGTGCATTTATTGGCTAGAGGACACGCGTAATTGGTGTTTGCTCACTATAATGTGTAACAATGATGTAACAATTAGGGGGCCCAAAAGGACAACGTGGTATGCGAGTATCCAGCTTCGATCCGGACGATCCGCAAAACATGCCGGTACCACCACCTCAAAGGCGAAACACTTCTCATCAGCGTGTCGCAACGATTTCGCAAAATTATAACGAGAAAACGATGTTACTGAGCAGCGACGATGAATTTCAATAAGGCACACGAACGTAGTTCGGGAAAATGTGATTTACTCGAGAATCGTATCGACTAATATTACAATGCGAAACTTCCATGAATTTCTAGAAATCTGCTTTCGAAGAGGGAGGGATGCAAGAGAAAATGATGTTTCAAGGGATGACTCGCATGAAGCGAATTTAATTAGGTAAGAATGTTCTTGCAGACATTAAAAAAAAACAAAAAGGAAAAAGGGACATCGCGCAGGGCGTAAAAGCGCATTGCATTTCACTGTAATAGTTCCATAATGTTACATCCATGTTAATATATGTATTACGTTATAACATACGAGTAAAGAAATAGTATAGAAGATATTTATTTTACTATGCTGACATGTTTGAGGCAGTGTTATTCGTACACCCGTGGCTCTACTGCGACACTGCAAGAAGTATTAAGTGCACGATAATGCTTGCTCTTCATAATAGATAAGTAAGAGTTATTGTATAGTACTTAATTTCACGCGCGATATTGCACCTTCTCAGAGTTCGTATATAAGCATCGACACTTGTTTACACTTTTGTATCTGTTTTTATTTACGCGTTTGCATATAGCGAATCTTGACTTATACAATTTCACATTTGTGCTTGTTGGAAGCCTCGCGAGCCACAGGAATATTTGCGTCCTGCAAAACCATTCTTTCTTTGGTTTTTTTACGAAATGTACGTGTATATATCACCGAGGTAGATTAGATTTAAAAATGCGGAGAAGTCGAAGCGAGTTTTCCTTCTCGACGAAAGCCTTTCGATAAAAAAGAAAAAACAAAAAGATATACAACAATTATACACGCGAGAAAAGGACGATCGATGAGCATCGTGTCAGATATAAACATTTGGTATTCGATGTCTTATGTGTACAACTGTGTATAATCCTCATATTTTTTTTAAAAGCATAAGAAACGAGCCAAGTTAAAAAAGATCTATTTTATATGACAGCACAGTGTGCCGAAATCTTTCGTCGCCACTTAAAAACGAAGTGAACGTGTAAATCTGTAAACAAATTTTATTGTCCTATTACATCTCGTAATAAAGATAAGACAACTACATGAATAGAACATTATTTATTTACAATTAAAACATCTGTTAATAATACCTCATATATAGAAAATATACATATATATATATATATTATATATATAGAATAATTTATATATGTATATATAAGAAATTTTAATTATATCATACATTCTGTCGATGCTTTTTTTTCTTAAAAATATGTTAATCAACTCGAATACCATATTATTACTGTTAGAAGAATAATTTAGAATGTTATTAACAGCCTTTACTTTTTGGCAAAAAAATAAAGATATAATATTGTACACGTTTGGATAAAACGGTTCATTTTTCTGATCGCAATAGCACCCTTGTTTGAATTTACCAATATCCTAACATCTATCACCAACTACCAGCCGATCCAATATGATTGATTATTCGTCACAATCTTCTTCCATCCGTGCCAAGGAGATTCCAAATTTTCGCGCAAGGATAATGTTTCCGGAAACACATTACCGGTTTTCAATTGTACTTCTCTGAATGTTGATTTTAGCGACGTATTTGCAGTTAATTGTTTCTCGTCCTCTTCCTCCTCTTCTTCGATATCTTGATATTGTAATTCGTCATCCATATAAACGACCGCATTGGTATCCTCATTCGCATACTTGTGATACTCCTCAGCGACGTCGCGCTTCGTCACTTTGCTCGTAGTCACAAACGCGTTCTGAATGATCTCCAAGTCATGGGCAGCCAGCGGGGATTGCGGATTAATTATGGGTTTGAAGCCGATCGATCTAAGCCGCGCGATCCGTAGATCGCTATCGAATGCATTTACTGGTACAAAAGCCGACGTCCTATCCTGTAGGGAGTCCGCGTATTCCTCGTCGCTTTTGCGACTCGCATTATCCTCTGTGTGCGTAGAAGCGGTGCAGACTCGCAACGTTTGAACCTGGGATCCTTGATCGCACACGTCCAACATGGATTCCTTCAGTTTCTCTAATTTATCCCATTCCATCTTCAAGATAGCTCTTTGATCGTTTAACTGTCCAATAACGTAAACTTCTGGATTATCAGAGATAAGTCTGCACTGCGTCGTCGCATCCACCGTACTGGGTTTCTCATCCTGTTTTTTGCGAAAGCAGGATAAACGCGGTTGAGTGCCATAATGTGATAAAGGAATTGTCCGAGTCGGTTTGTTTCGAAGACTTCTATCGAAGGTAATCGTGATGATATTGTGATCAGCTGTTACAGTTTCATTCTCTTTCTTCTTGTTGCTAACGCTATTATTGCTATGATTGTTGCGATTTTCATTATTGTTATTATTACTAACATTACTTCTAAGATTTTTTTGCTTCTCAATTGAACTGTTAATATTTTTGCTGTTTGCGTGCACGGTATTGGTCAAACTATACTTATTCTTTGTTTGTCTCTCCCCGGCACGTTGACGACTGACTTTGGTCAGTTTGCTTTTCCGTTTAAAACTAGATTTGTATCGCTTGTTGGACGAATATACTACGGTATTGAAGGTATTGCATTTTGCGAATGCATTGTTTTTGCATCGTAGTCTCCTGTTCCTGGGTCCTCGTGTCGCGGGACCGAAATTAGCATCTATTGACAAATTGGCAATCTCCCTGTCTCGTTTCTTGTACTTGGTCTTCTTGATCGACGAGTCGGGAAACTTCGGTTTTACCAATACTTTCTTATCAGTCCTTAGACGGGTTTTTATGTCATATGAACTGCGAGTGTGTTGCGCGATAGTCTGAAGCGAACTCTGTACACGAAACGGCGATAAGTACTCGTTATTCTTCTTGGATATGCAATTTCGATCGCTCCTCCTAACGTTATTATTACGTTTCTGGTCCACGTCGTTACAGGATTGACGATCCGTACTGGGTAGCAAGTTGTCGAATTTTTTTCCATCCGCTTGCTTGGTTACCTTCCAAATTAATCTTTTGGATTTGGAATATTTACAGTATCTTCTGTTGTCCAAAGATGCAACATTTTCCTTTATGTTGTCTGTTTCTTCGCGCTTCTTCCTAAGATTTATGTTTGTCGACACGTGCTTCTTGTTCTTGATCTCCGGAGTCGTTTCTCTCTTCGGTGTATTCCACATCGCGCATTCTTCGATCGTCAGTCCTATCATATTTCCGATCAGCAACTTGGACATAGGATGATGTATTTCCTTATTGATTAAATTCAAGATCTTATCCGGCGTCAAGGAATCCAAGGATTTGATGTTTTGCGCGCAAAGAGATTCATTCGATATTTCCAAAGCGTCATGGCATTCAGAGATTCTTTCGTGTGTCGCAACCGAATTCCTCGGTGATTCATCCCTGGAATTTGATTTCTGTATTGGTTCATTATTAATATTCAAGTTTTGTACATCCTGGCATTGAGCATTTTGAAGTTGTTCTTTACGCTCGATAGTATTTTTGGGACTATCTAACGATGAAGATATATATGCATAAGAATGTTCTGACGATTGCACGGCTAACGACGGTAAATTTTCTCTACGTTTGTTCAACAGAGAAGTATTTGTGTTATCGACTACGACATGCCCGTTATAGGATAAATTTTCACTCGGCCGAGAATTCACTCGGGCCTTATCCATATTTATCTTCTCGATAAGCTTAGTATCCTCCTTGGGTGTCAAGCGACTACCCTCCATATCCAATGCCGTACGAACAGTGATGTCGATCGGCTTGGAAGGCTTCTGTAACATCGTCGAGACGCTCTTCTTCGCGTCCTGTGAATTATGCGACGACTCGTACAGGCCCATGCGTATCGAGATGTTTGTACTGTGAGTTTTAGTAGTCGACGAACCAAGGCACAGCAACGTCTTTTGATCAGGTACAGAAGTTGATATCGCATTCTCCACGTTATTCGGTAGTTTCTTAAAAACATGGCGCGTCACAATGGAACTCTCGGGTACGGATCGTCTGCTGGTGTCGACCGACGGTATTGTTTTTGCAGCCGGTAGACTTTCACAACTGTCTCCATAACTAAGTTTTCGTTTTCGACAGGTAACCCCGATATTATTCGAGCATTTTCTCAAGTCATACGTGTTTAGATGATTCGACAGGGGGATATGATGTCGCATGGAAGACAATTCTTCCGAGTTTTTGCTGCTCCAGCTGGGCGACTCTTGATTCGCGAGACGCATCAACGCGAACTTGTTGTACTTGGTTCCATCCGAAGTCATGCCAATCCAACAACTTATAACTATGTACAGTCCATCGTACCTGTATCCAGTATTAGGTGCGATATTGTTTTGCAGATTGTAACTTCTTATTAATCTCAATGGTATCTGATTTTTGTAGTTGCAAATAAGTGGATCTGCACTGGGTTGCTCCTTGTGATATACCTGGCCTGTGAGCGTTAGATAATCACCGTAATCCACGTCCTCGTTCATATTAGTATGCGAGGTACATACAGAGATAACGCCAAACGGTCCCTCATGTATGTCAACATTGAAGGGCTCGTGCATCTTATCTCTGGCACAGTCCATGCGTATGCCCCACCAGGATCCAGGTGGAAATCCCAGAACTGGACCATACCAGCATCTCGAAGCCTTGAGAAACACACGAAACAACTGCATCACTGTATACACTTTATCGGTAATGATGTAAAGATGAATAGGAAAAATGATGCTTACATTCTTGTTGTACGATGGGCTGGATTTATCCAAAGATTTCAGCAAGCTCGCTTCCACAGCTTGATTGAGCTTGCCAAATAGTTTGTTCAGATCGTGCTTAATTCGATCCTTTCCCTGAAAAGAAGGAAAATATGGAGAAAAAAAGGAAAATATAGGAACATCGATGTGAAAAATGAAAGTTAATTATTTCAGCCTGGCAACGATATTAATACGTGCAATGTGGGACGAAAAACAATGCAACGAAGACAGAAACGACAGAGCGGAGCTGTAGAAGCAGGTCCTCGGCGGAGAGAACTGGAGAGAACGGTATACAGACGAGATACAGTGAGCCCCCCTTGTGGCGCAATACCTGATTCTTAGTTCGCGCCTCACGCAGCCTCCTGTCGTTCTCCTGAATCGCGTTCGCGCACACGGCCCTCGAGACGTCGTTACTCGATCTCGCCATTTCCACGAACGACGAGGGATCACGGCAGATCGCCGAGTACACTTATATCCACAATCGAGACGGCACGCTTTCCATTCGGATTGTGGCCGTCCGTCACCGACTCCACACGAATGCAAATGGCCGCGCTATCGTGGTCGTTCCGTCGATAACCGCTCTGCGATAACTTCGCGATGTAAACACGCCGCCGAAATCAGGCCCAGCTGCACCATCTGCACTCTGTCATCGACATCCTTCTCCCGCCCTATACGCCCGGCTATCCGTCTATTTCGCTCCAAAGTGCGAGGAACTCGTCCAGAGGAATCTTATCGTTTAAATGTTACGGTAAATTAAGTCTCGCGCCGAGTTCGCCGATTAGATCTGCGAGTCGCGTTGCGTTGTCACGTTGAGTTTCGGAAACTATGTAGATTCATTTGTTTAACATTTCGAGAGAGAATGTGCTGTCTACATCGATTTAAAGAGAGATAGATTTAAAGCGTTTCGCGTAGCGATGGACTTTAAAGAGAAAAACAAAAAAAAAAAGAATCGAGAAAGGGAGAGAGACGGAGCGTGCGATTAAAACGGCTAGGATAGATCGACGAAGGTAGATAACGGCGAGCGCGTTAATGTATCGTAATTTAGCGGATTCTACGAAGGCAAGAGTCAATCGGTTATGATTGGCTAATGCAATTACGAGGCGAGAGAATCGTAGTTGATTTTAGTGGGAAATATAAGCGTGAATGTAGGCGCGCGCGATAAGCCTCGCGATCTCGAGATCGATTCGAATCCCACCGTGAAGGATCGTTGGAGCGCGAATAAAATGGAATGGTGGTTTCGATGATAGAAAAACAGATAGAAACGAGGCTTTCGGGGCGAACGGCGACTGACGGCGACGACAAGCGGAAATGGGGGGCAATGGGTGGGATGGGGGGAGATGCGTTGGAAACGGCGGCCGAAGGAAGGCGGCCTCGATGCGTGGCTTAGCCGCAAGATGGCGTAATACATGCGACGCTGCTTTTGACGTTCGCATATGAGTTTTTTTTGGTTCCCTCCACTTTGAAAAGGCCAGGAAGTGATTTTTCCTGGCGGACCGCTTAGTCCACGCACGGCCGATCGAGGATGTGCCGTAAGGTGTTAGCCGCGACGCGAGCCGTTCGACTAATCGGTATTTCGATTTCGAGTACGTAGTACTTGGCCCCATAGCGAGGCGCGCACGAGGTCCCGCGATTGGCCAGTTTACGAAAACGACGATGGCTCCGTGAGGAGAGGAGAACATGGCTGCGACGCAAGCCGAGAGCCAACAAAACGATGTGAAGCTGAACGAGTCCGTGAAATGCGCACAGAAGCGTACGCAAGTCGGTGGGAATAGTGCGAGTGCTAGTGCGAAGCAGCAGCTGGATTCCGAGCCGGACGATAAAGTGTCCCGGGGCGCGGCCCAGCTGCTTAAATATGTGAGTCGCGGCGGGGACACGACGGGCTACGAGATGAGTCAATACCGCGAGGACATTGGCGGACACCCTGCCGCCGGTGAGGTAAAATCGCCGCGTGAGGCCGGCCAGACGTCCCAGGAGCCCGTCGGCAAGCAAGAGGCGCACGACGCGCCCGGCCATCCCGGCCACCCGGGCCATCCGTTCGCGCCAAACGTGATACGCGACTACTCGGACGAGTACAGCAACAACAAATCCGGCGAGTTCGCCGCGACCAAGTCGCTCGCTGACTATCCGCCCGGTAAGCAGCTCCCGGAGTACGTTGCCAAACACGCGGACTTTCCCGGCAAACAGCTCGATTATCATGGTAAACACTTGATGCACGAGTCCGACCGGACCCACCGGGCCGAGATGGAGGAGCACTACTCCGCCTCCAAGATCGAGTCGCGATTGTACGTCGGTGCCAGCTCCGGCAATTTCCCCGGTCAGCCAAGGTTTCTCTCCGGACAGGGCATGTCCCAGACCGCTGGTCCTACGCCTACGTTGAACCAGTTGCTGCAGGCGTCTACTCCAGTGCATCGGTTTCATGGAAATTATCCTGGAATGGGGCCTGAGTATCAGCAGCCATGGCCTATGCAAAGGCCACCGGTTGTGCCTCCAGTTTATCCACAACCCAGTCAGCGTCCTCCGCAGACGGTAAACAAACACGTTTACACCTTTGCGTCAAGTGTAATTGTAAATTCCACTTGAGGTTAAGCCCAGCGACTAAACCTAGGGTTACGATAATTATACTTTTCCTTGTTATGAGTTTCCATAGTTTTTGTATTATCTACAAATTTTAGATTTAGCTAAAACATTATATTTGTATATATATGCGATCTAATTGTTACATGCTTTCCTATCTATCAGGGTTCACCGAGATTACATACAGGGCCAGGAGCACAGAGTTCTCCAACACCCATGCAATATCAACAATATACCCAACGATATTCTTCACCTACGAGACCTCACGCACCTTACAGTCATCATCAGGTAAGCGAACTTGTTTTCAATCGGTGACGTTAATGCATCTTTGTATATTAATATCGAAAAGGTGTAACCAATCAAATCGATGTTTCTACATAATATTTTCTTTCATCTTTTTAGTTAAACTCTTATACGACGCAAACCAGTCATCCTTCAAGCTTATATACGGAACAAAGGGGGTGGAATCAAGGTGGTCCACCAAATCCACCTCCACCGCCAAGTAATCAGGTCACTCCATCGGGTCAGTCACCACAGCGTGCTTTGTCTCAGTCTCCAGCTCCACCACCTGCTGCGTCACCGCAACCACAAGCTACCAGTCAGACCCAGGTAAACATTACTATAAAAATTACTAATAGTTGATAGTCTTTAATATATCACTGGAATGTATCAGAATTTCAGTTATCTTTATCTTTCTACAATACGATCATTTTTCTAATGAAAGTACATTGATAGTTCATTTGTACATTGAATGTACAATGTACATGTAAAAAAGTTTATGGAGTATTTTTTGTAGAAGTAAAACGTCTAGCATAGATTTTGACGTAGACTTATTTTGGCAGATAAACTTGATGTAATAATGATGTTATTGATGCAAAACATCAGTTTTTTTTTTAGAGATAAACAACATTAATGAAGAATACAGATCGCAATATGATGTGCACAATATACACAAATTGTTTGTGAAAGAATATATAAATTAATGAATTGATAAGACACAGTATATATGCAATGTACAATCTTATTTTTGCCTTTATTTTACATTTTTGTATACATGTGATAGATCTATCAATATTTCCATGAATATGTTAAAGTTAAAAGGGGGAATATGTAGTTTAGAGATATATGCGTTTACAGTATATTTCTGTAATGTAAGAATAGATTATTCACGGTATTGTGTCTCTTTTCAGGTTTTTCACAATATACAACAGCGAGCTACAACACCAAATACTCAAGGAATTGATTCTGGGGTGAGTTTTCATATACACAATTAAGATTAATTTTATTTTATTCTTAAAGAAAGAAATTAAGTACATCGACGTCGCGCGTTGAGTGCGCCTCAGGATTCAAATGGATGTGTGTGGAAAGAAAAGCTTGAAGTATCCGGAACGTAGCAAACAAGTTTTTGCCGGTGATTGCATAATCCCCGCCGTGACAGGAATGATTGTCGTAGAGATTTCACGTACGATTTGAATTAATTCTATTCTTCTGTCGCAAAAGCTACGCGACTGAATGTATCGATACCGGTGAAATTCTTGTGGAAATTTAATACTGCGTATATGTGTACGTGTGCGTGAAAGTATGTAGTGTATCCCACGAGGACGCCAATCATCTCTGGCGAAATCGCGACGATCGTGATGCTTGGGACGCAAGTTTGGGAATAGATCGAAAGGCGAATTTTCCGTCTTGGTCAAAGTATTACTTGCAAGGTCTCTATCTACAACTTCGGTCTTGGTACTCGTTCAAGTACTTTCCTGACGAGAAGAGCGAGCGAGAGTGAGCGAAAGGGTGGCCCCTCGTGTGGTGTGCGAGGGGATCAGGAGGCCAAGGAAGTGGTAGCGGAGAAGGAGAAGAAGTAGGAGGAGGAGGAGGAGGAGAAGGAGGAAAGGGAGGAAAGGGAGGATGAGCAAGGAGCGGAAGAGCGTGAGGGGAGGCAGAGCAGACGACGGTGGGGATGGAGAGTATCCGACTCGTAGAGTTCGATTAGGGCGCGAGTTGCGCGGCCGCCGGAGCCCCAGATATTAGCGACTTCCCCGCCGTGTTTCCCCTCCGCCCGCACTCCTGTCCCTCGCCCCGGGGTTACCCTGGTCCCCACTGCCGGCGCGTTTGCATGGGCGGGTAAGCGAAAGAACCGACACGGATAACGCGGCGACGTAGCGGGGTGCGATGCGAGCGCGAGCGCGATTGGTCGAAACCAACGGCGACGGCGACGGCGGCGATTCTCCCCACTGCCGCGCGCGCGACGACGTGACGTTTTGTGTCGCGCTCGGCTATATTCGGTACGCCGGATCATGCGACTGTCACTCTGCGACACGCCATCGAACTTCTTGCGCTCCCACGGCGAGCGGCTTCTCGAACGCAATCGCGCAATGTACCGTTTCGCGAAACGCAAGAACCCCGTGAACTCTCTCGCTCTGCGTAGCGACGTGGGATTATTATTGTAGAATCCGCGCGACGCTCCAAGTTTCCGGACACCGTCGTTTGCGGCATCGAGCCGTTTCAGGGCGTTCGAAAGAGAGGGAAAGAGAGAGAGGGGCAGAGAGAGAGAGAGAGGGAGAGAGAGAGAGAGAAAGATAGCGCGCCCCGGGATACTCACCACCGCGAGATAATATCCCGCGAGATGCGCGACGAGGGGAACAGGACAACATCGCCGGCCCCGTTGGCTCGGCCACCAGGGCGGGAGTGCTCGTGGATCTTTAACCGCACGAATCGTTCGCAGAGTACATGCGCTCTCGGCGCCGTCGCGGCGATACCCGCCATGTTACTCCAGCGCGACTTGCTCTGCGACGTTATGAAACGGCGAGGTAGGAACGCGCGAGGAAACGATTTGTTGTTTCGCGAGCAAGATCGACCTGCCAAATGCATGAAATGACGGAAAATTTTCACGTAATCTCTCTCTCTCTCTCTCCTCTCTCTTTCTCCCTGTCTCTCTTTTTCTCGCGGTTAATTTTAA